GTTAGACCAGGATGGAGCTCATGAAGAACTGGAGACCAAAGAAAGCTAGTTGCCCAGAAGTGCTGAGGAGGCAGAGTAACTGCAGACTCAAGCATGGCAGGTATATGTTATACATGCCTCAAGCTGTATTCATCTGATAGAGAGCTGAGGCAGGCTTGCTGATGCTTTCTGATTAATGCAGTCCACATGTGTGTACTATAGGGAGAAGTGACTGCTCCTACCATACCTGTCACTGCCTCTCCACATCTTCTCGCCAGTAATGGCCTCTACTTCCAGCCTGCATGCAGGCCAATCCTTAGGGTACTCCCAGTGCCTCCGTGCCCCCACCCAGCCACAACGCCATCACCAGCCAGTGCCCATCTTACAGCTTTTGTCTCATAGAACCATCTGAAATACCTGCCCACTGCATCTGCCTGCTGCTTAGCCCTCATCCACATTGCCCTCTCACCTGGACATTCATATGCAGGCGCTTTCCCCAGGATAGCCTCAGCCAGCAGTCTCACCCAAACCACAGCTGGCTTACCAGTTGACCACCCTCATACCAGCTGTCCTTCCAGCCCCTCAGACTGTACCTCAGGCCTTTGCACCAGCATTCCCCTCATCCTCAAATGTCTGCTTGTTTGCCTCCTCCACCATCTGTTCATAGTCATTTCTTATCTGTTAGGAAGTTAGTCTTGCCCACTTTTAGACTTGCTGCCTATATACCCACCTTTGACCCTGCTTCTCTAGAGAGAGCTCCATTTCTATAATAAAATTTGGCACCTTGTTACTTACTGTTTATGTATTGTCTGTGATCTGACTTCTGTTATCCCTACCTGGGCAAATTTAGGAACTGGGTCTTTGCCTTGTTCGGTACACACACACGCACACACGCACGCACCCACCCCAAGCTCAAAGCCACAGCTTCATAAGTAAGTGTGAGATAACAAAGTGCTGACTAGTTTTCCCCGGCCTCATTCTCCACTGCAACACAGCTGTCCCTCATGTCCATGGCCACCCTTGCTTTCAGGATACCACATGAAACTGCACAACACATATACCTTCGTCAGCACATGGTACAGCTACACAGATACATTTAAGCAGGCACAGGGGGCAAGGGGGTGTATGTGTCACTATTGAAAACATAGACCTGCATTCATGGTTTACCATTACGTTCCTCTTTTTCTTCAGAGGACCTCTGCTGGGATTCTTTCCTGCCCTGCCCCTCCCTCTCACCTTGTACCTTTTCTCTCTGCTGAATCACTTCAGTTGAGCAGTAACTGTGGTTCATCTCTCCTATTCACACCCACACATACCACAGGGCCTTTGTAGAAGCTTCTGCTCTGCCCAGTATGTCTAGTATTTCTAGCCCATGCCCAATGGCACTGTAGTGGTAGATCCTAGGCATCACCCTGGGCCCATGAGTAGTTTCTGGTTCAGGAAACAATGTGGTCACCCAATTGAGTCTATACCTCTAGCCAAATGACATCATTTTGGTTCCATTCTGTGATTTCAGGAGTTCCTCAAAACCCAGTAAAGCCCAGATAGATGTAGAGAAAGGGCAAACAAGAGCTTTGGGTAAAAATCAAAGGAGCCCAGCCTCAGTGGGTGGGGCTGACCTGAGGTCCCATTTGGAGCATAGCTTGGCTCCTGCCCACAGGCCTTTCTGCATCTATCTTCAGCCCTCAGTTCCACTGCTCTGGCACTCACATCACCCTATGACCAAACCCCACAGAGCTGCTGGGAGAACTCTCTGAGTGGGTCTTCAGCTTGTTTGCTTCAGGTGTTGTGTATCCTGGTGAACTGGAAGAAGATGATGCCTCAAGCAGGGGACCTACCCTCACTGTGACTGTTAGTTGCTTCCCCAGGTAGTCCCCATGACAGGACATCACTGCCTGGCTGTGATTTCCCCTTTACTCCCTTATTGCCTAGTAGCTACCCATGCATACTGATCAAGGACCACCTGACCAGCCCCTGGGTCTAGCTTTCTAGACAGCAGCAAGTCAGGCCTGCAGCTGACAGCCCACTGCCCACAGCATGTTCTCCAAATTCCCCACAGCCTAGACCCTCAGCCTTGTGGTAGAACATGTTTCCTGAAGCATGTCACATGTCCAGAAATAGAGAAACTTCTCTGCCTGCTCTTGAGACCAAAGGCTGGGCTGCTTCTCCTTATTCTCTATAACACCTGATGCTGGGATGGGGGCCAACAGGGCAAGAGCAGGATGGACAGATATGAGAAGGACTGTGGCAGCCCATACAGACCTGCCTGCTCACACACAAGCTCATCTGGGGCCTACCTTTCTCTCATGCCACATGGTTTCCTGATTTTAAGGAAATCCCTGCCTGGCAGGAGAGGCTGCAAAATGGGCAGGCACAATGCAGAGGTGGCAGCCGCAGGGAGGGGAGGCACCTAGGTGTGAACTGACCTACAAAGAGAAAAATTCCTTCAAGACATACCTAAGACAGGAGTCACTGAGGAGACCAGGGGACCCTGGTGTGACAGGAACAATTGTGCACTGCCAGGAAGTAGATAGCTTCTCTTCAGGTACAACTCTGCACCAAAGCAGAGGACTGCCCCACCATCCCTCAGGAATCGTAAGTCTGGGGTCCCAATGTCACCCACCTAGACTAGACCATATCCCTAGAGTGGGGGGGTCACTACAGGCTGTCCTGCAACAGCTGGAATCCTTCTCTTGGGTGATGGCAAACAGTTTAGGAGGCTCATTTAGCAGGAACCTATTTTGTGGATGACCTTTGCCCCTAACACTGTCTAGCAAAAGAACTGTCAGTTGAGGCCTGGGCTACAACTCTGATTTTAAGTCACTGAATTGAAGAAAATGGTGATAACAAGGAGGGAGAGGTCCTGACCATCATTCTGAAATGGTGGTGTTGGCAGGTAGGGCCCCACTGCTCCAGCAGCTGCTGGGAAGGCTTTCTGGAAAGATGTCCCCACACAGCAGGCTGAAGACTGTGCACAACTTTGCACCCTGAGGAAGCATTCAGGTCAACAGCAGAGGCCAGGGACAAGTTACAGGGTTCCTGGCCATGCTGACAGTCCATGCAGAAAGTCTCGGGCAAGCCTCAAGTGTAGTGAGAGACAGGATCTTGTCAGTGCCATGACATCTGCCCACAAATGTTTTTAATCTAATGAAAGGTCATTAAAGGAAAAATAGGTGGTAGGGTCAGAGGCAAAGGAGAGACTCCTGAGGAACTCCTTACTGCTGACAGAGACAGAGAAGTGGTGACTGTTACTGGCTGGCACTTGCAGAATACCAGGGTATGAGCTAGATGCACTGCTCCTCACATGTACCTTTGACCATGAGAGATAAGCTCAGAGACAAGGAGTAACATATCCAAGATGCTGATAGCCAGTGGGGTACCTAGCCAAAAGCTACATGAAGACTTTCACTCTAACAGTGGGCAGTATCAAGCTTTGACTCAGGATGAGAGGTGTCTTCAGATATACTCTTGGGGGCACATGGACCGAAAGGGCTGCAGAGGACCAGTCCTTGGGAAAAGCCAGAACCTTGGGCCCTGGGGCTTGGTTCAAAGCAGGATTGCTCAAACTAGTTGTGGAAGGTCTACGAAGGTATAGGACAGAGAAAGAGGCATAGTGGGGAGGGTGGAGTGCCATTTCCTGAGAGTCCAAGTCAGATGGCTAAGGAGTACAGGAGTGGTTAGGGAAGGTTGAGTCTCAGATGCTAGTCACACCTAGGAATAAAGGCAGGGAGAGGCCCATAACTGGGGTTAGGGGCTCTGTCTACCTTGAATCTTCTAAACCAGAGCCTGCTATCAGAGAAGGGGATATTAGATGTGTCAGGGAATAGCCATGGCTCAGTAACCAGGCAAAGACAGAGGTCAGGGGAAGGAGGGCAAGAGGTGTGCTATGGCACAGGGCCACCTTGAGCTTTTAATTGAGGGCAGAAGCCTGTGTCTCTGGTGAAGGAGGCCTGGCCAAGCCACCCAACAGGTCATGGAATTGTCTTGGAGGTACTCGTCCCCCTACTGGTCAACAGGTGTCCCTGACCCCAGCCAAGAGTACAGCTGTTCCTCATTGGTATCAGTTAGGGTCTATGAAAGATTCAGCCTGAGCCTAGTAGGTCCTGGCCAGAGCAGCCAAGCCTGCACTCAGTAAATCCCAATTTCCTGAGAGCCCTGAGAACTTCCCTCGCCTCTCCTGCCTTCCTACACAGACTTGACCATATTGTCCTGTTACTCAGACTTGCGACACCCAAGACCCTAACCCCCCACTCTGGACCCTGTAGTGCCCCTAGTTGGTGACCTTCGCCTTGCTTTGGTCCCTGCCTTCTGATTCCCAGAGTTGGCCCCACACAGAACCTAAAAGGGGAGGCAAGGCCAGAGCGCCCTCTGACACAATACACACACTACCCATCTCTGGCCCTATGACAACAGAGGTGACCCTGCATCAGAGGAGGGAAAAGTTGGGAGATACCCAGTTGTCCCTAGCCTAGGTTGGGAGGCCTGGGCCTCCTTCATGTGAGGCCACATCCAGGACCTCAGAAAGAGGGTGGGGCTGAACTCCCTCAGTTCTTCCCCCTGGCAGAATAGGGGGAACCCCCATCAGGGTCACATTATGTATCCCTAGCCAGATGTAGAAATTCAGAGAATGTGAGATTAGCCAAGTCCAGTGGGCAAGAAGGGGTGACAGAGGTGATTCCAGCATGGGGGCAGCAGGTAAGAGCCTTGCATACCCCGCTTCTGCCAGTCCTATATCTGGCTTCAGGCAAACTGACAAAGGGGCGGGCATTGGTCAAGCAGGTTTGGGCACTAACCCTGCAGCACTCAAGGGACAGTTCTGGCTTCAGGCAAACTGACAAAGGGGCGGGCATTGGTCAAGCAGGTTTGTTTTGCTGAGGCTTGGGCACTAACCCTGCAGCACTCAAGGGACAAGGAGTTGATGAACAACTGTTCCCATTTCCTGAGGCCCAGTGGCTGATCACTTTCACCATCCGGTCTGAGGTGGGACCAGGAGGTAGCTTATGCTGTGTTCTGTTTGGCAGGTGAAGGGCCGGATGCAAGGCAGGGAGCCGGAGCAGTCTGAGGCAGGGGGGCCACAGGGAGCTCTGGGCCCTCCAGCCTTGCTTAGCAGCATCGCCACAGCAACCAGCGACTAGACGGCAGCAGCCTAGGCAGACGCAAGCGGACGGCTTCCCACCGTGGCCAAGTACAGGGAATGACTACAGCAAATCAGGCCACACTGCTGACAAGGGAGGTGGAGTGTCACTAGAGGGGAGGGTGTGGTCTCCGCCCCACTGTACTGAGCGCCATGCCCACAGGAGAAGAGGTGCTGGGGCAAGGATTGCAGTGTGATACAGCCTTGCCCCAAAGCCAGCACTGAGCACTTCCAGGCCATCTGGCTCTTGCGTGTCGGTTGTACCAACCCACATTTCAGTATCCCTCACTGTGACTGTCCTGCTTGGTGGCAAGGGGGAAGAGACACCCATCCTGTGTTCTGCATTGGGGCCTGCTGCTGCCGGACCATGGGATGTCGGCAAAGCTCAGAGGAGAAAGAGGCAGCTCGGCGGTCCCGGAGAATCGACCGCCACCTGCGCTCAGAGAGCCAGCGGCAACGCCGCGAGATCAAACTTCTCCTGCTGGGCACCAGCAACTCAGGCAAGAGCACCATCGTAAAGCAGATGAAGATTATCCACAGTGGTGGTTTCAACCTGGAGGCCTGCAAGGAGTACAAGCCCCTCATCATCTATAATGCCATCGACTCACTGACCCGTATCATTCGGGCCCTGGCTGCCCTTAAGATCGACTTCCACAACCCTGACCGTGCCTATGATGCGGTGCAGCTCTTCGCACTGACAGGCCCAGCAGAGAGCAAGGGTGAGATCACACCAGAGCTGCTAGGCGTCATGCGACGGCTGTGGGCTGACCCTGGGGCTCAGGCCTGCTTTGGCCGCTCTAGTGAGTACCACCTGGAGGACAATGCAGCCTACTACCTGAATGACCTGGAGCGTATCGCTGCACCCGACTACATCCCCACTGTGGAGGACATCCTGCGCTCCCGGGACATGACCACAGGCATCGTAGAAAACAAGTTCACCTTCAAGGAGCTTACCTTCAAGATGGTGGATGTGGGCGGGCAGAGGTCAGAGCGCAAAAAATGGATCCACTGCTTTGAAGGCGTCACAGCCATCATCTTCTGTGTGGAGTTAAGTGGCTATGACCTGAAGCTCTATGAGGATAACCAGACGGTAAGTAGAGCCCAGGTTTCTGCTGTTTGTGAGCACAGAGAGGCTTTTGTCAGAACTGGGACTGAGCTTTGTTCAGCCACATGGAGCCTGCAGTGGTTCCAAGAGATGAGGGTGAACATGCCCCTCATTCTGTGCTCAGAGGAGCATGCTGAGGAGTATGGCGAGTTTGTATATGCCACAAAATTTCAGGGTCATTTCTGCCAAGGTTATGCTGGTAACCCCATAAAACGTCAGCTCTTCTTGGCTCCCCCAACTTGGGGGACCTCATTTTTACATAGATGACCCTGCTCTGACACCTTATAAATAATGCTACACCCCTAGGCTCCATGGAGTTATGACTACCCTCCCCCAGCTTCAGATGGAACTTCCCTTGTGATATTTGCAGGCGTCACTGTCCAGGTTTCCAGATTATCCCAGCTTCAGTGCCATGAATAGGTCCTGCCTGTGCCACACACTGAGGCCAAGGAGGAAAAGGCCCAGCCAGCCATCTTTTTTGGTCCACATACAGTTTAGCAAATCCATGAAGCTTCTACCAGCACTGTATTGGATGTAGGTCCTAGGAACAAGCAGCTACCTCACAATCCCTTCTTGATTTCAAGAGTCAGGGTAGCAATCCAGTTGAGAAAGATTTAATTCCAAGGTGCCAGGACCTGGACTTGGGCTTAGCAGATAGGCTAGGGCCATTATTGAGGTTCTTTAAAGCCTTCATCCTAGGCTGAGAACAACTGTGTGGGAAGGGGTATCAGAGGCATGCAATAGGATGAAAGCAACCCGAAGGAGACCAAAGTCCAGTGGTAAGCTGGTAGGGCTCAAGAAGGGAGCTGCTGGAGAGACAGGAAGCATAAGCAGGCCCTTTGTAAGGAGATGGTAGGCAGCATGCTCATAGCAACTGAGGCAGAAGGCTAGATGCGCAAACTATCTGTAGTATCCCCAGAAATAGCAGTATTGGAAGCCCCATAATCAAATAAATGATGGTAGTCTGCTCCGGGGCTTTCTTCCTCAGCAAAGCTATTGTGTCAGGCAGGAGCACTAAACAAAGACCCTTTCTACCTATCCAAGAAAGGCCTTTGACCCTAGAGACTGGAGAGGAGGTACAAATAGGGTCAGTGGAGTCCTCTGAGAGCTGTGAGTGGTGCTTTGGGTGCTTGGATCCCAGAGGAGGATAATCATGCTTATGGGGACTCTGGGGACATGTAACCTCCACCATGAAGTGAGGCAAGGGTCTGGTCTCCCCACTTTGGAGCACTGGCCTCTAGGGTCATTGGCAAGAATGGTGCTTCTTCCTTCATCTGATCTTGCTAAGGCACGTGGTTACTTTATTCTTTAGGTTCTCCCAAGGGCTCTAACTTTAGGGCCTACGCCTCCCTCAAAGTTATCTGTGGAAGGCTACATGCTCACAGTGCTAGGTGCCTGAGTGTTCTGGGCTTAGAAGTAATCTATAGTCTGGTTAAGTAGCCAGAAAGACTGGAGGCCAGGCTCTCCTCCCCTCCTCTCCAGCATCTGGGGCCATCCCAGGAACTGTGCCAGGTGTAGATGATATCCCCAGTGGGTGGGATGATGAGCTGTAGATGCTGAGCCCACAGGAAGTAGGCAGTCCTGTGGTCTACTTTGTACCCAGGCCTATCTGTCTGAGTGAGTGGTCTTCGGGGTTCTGAACCCTCCTACTTCTGTCTGTCCCTACTTCAGCAGCGTGTGTGGTTCTGAATAGAAGAGGCATCATAGCAGATGAGAGAGGTCAGGCTCCCTCAACAAGGCATTACTGTGGGCAAAGGGCTTGGGGTTGACCCAACTATGACACAAAGCACAGCACCTGAGGTGGGCCAGGGGAAAGATAATGTAAGGCCTGCCAGCCATGCTGTAGCTGCTAATCACATAGGCTCAGGTGGCCAGTTCTCTAAGCTTCTGTGCACTTTCAGGCCTGAATCTGACTGTTCATCCATTATCTCCAGGGCAGGCATGGCAAATTCCCTCAGGGCAAAGACTTGCCCTCAGATCCATCTTTTGCAGACTGTGCCCATGAGCCTGTATTCCCAAGTGTACCTGGGCCCAGAAGGCAGGATATCTGGGCCCTGAGTTTCATGACAACCTCTTCCCTCTGAATCTGTTATCCAGGAGGTAGCCCCCAAGCTTTCCTGACTCTGGTCCTTACCCATACCACCTTGTTGCCTCTTCTCCCTGCTCTGCTATCAAAGGCTTGTTTTGCTTACAGCACCACTTCCAGCCTTTAGTTTACAACATCCTGTTCCATCTCTGTCTCCCACAAACCCCAATGCCTATCAGAACTTAGGAATCATCTCAGGCAAATCCTCCTTGGGAAGCCATCCCTGGCCACAGCCTGGTGCCTGCATACTTCTCACTGAGTGCTTTGCCACAGGGTGGGTCACTGCTCACATAAGCAAGGAGCTCCTGGTAACAGGCCCTGGGAGAACTGGGGTAGAGCCCTACAGCCTCTCATCTCTAGCTTTCTCCCAAACCTGTCTCAGTAGAGATCTCTGTGAGGCCCATGTACACCTCTCACAGAAACCAGGCTGAGTGGTTCAGGGCATCTTCTAAAGGGAGGAGTTGGCAACTGAGACTGCACACACACGTTCTCTCTCATATTCTCTCTCTCTCTCTCCCTCTCTCTCTCCACACACACACACATACTACCTACCTATCTATCTCTTTATCTTTGTCTGTATCTATATCTCTGTCTTCTTGGGCCTAGGGAAGAAAGTAGTTGTTTACCAGAAAAGGACATTCTTAATTTAAAAAAAAAAAAAACAACCAGGGCTGGAAATTCACTGGATTCCAAATGATTCTGACCTTTCATGTACACCAATAATATCTGACAATAGGAAACAAACAGGCTGCCTAGGAAAGACAATATCCTCCCATGAGCCCTCCCACCCTCAGTCCGGGTGGTGCCAGCAGTGAGCACCTCTCACCTCTCCCTCTAGCCAGATGCTGAGACAAACCTGCCTCCAGCTGCCTTCTCTTGGAATGCCCTGAACTGTCCTCTCAGCCCCAACAAAGACAAGTCATCCAGGAACAGACCACACTACTTTTTACAAAAGCTAAATGAACTTCAAGGCTAGTGCCAAGGCTCTGGACACAATTCATCCAGAGCTCTCCTTCCCTGCTCAACTCCAAGGCCTCATCTTCCCCCTGACAGAGGCTGGTGGTACCCCCTCCCGCCCCCATGCTTGGCGAAGGAGCCATAGCCCCACCCCCATTTCCCAGCCCGCCTGCCGGCTTCTGCGTCAGCACGTTGCCAAGGAGAGCTTTAGCATCTCTGGGTTCCTGGGCATGAGGGCTGCAAGTGAGCACGGGGCAGCACCTTAGCAGTGCAGAGGAAGATTCTAGGACGTCCATGGACCATGGCAGCAGGCACACAAGGAGCCATGCCACCCTTGGCCATGATTCACATACTTATCCCTAGGATTTGATGGTGCTAAGACTGACTGGAACCCCAGCCCCCTTGGCAGGCAGCTGGAGACTCCAAAGCCAGGAGGACTTCCAGTACTCCATTTAGTATCCTCCCAGATGCTCCCAGAGACTAAACATATCCCAGGGACATGTGGGGATTTCTCTTGGGCATCACACTCTGACCTTGTAGAGCACCAGCACATGTTATTTCTGTCCAGGCAGGGGCACCAAGGGTCAAGTGCAGGGCAGTACTGGCTGGCTTCCCACACCTTCTCCAACCTCCTACCCAAGCACCTTCACTCAGCCAGCTCCAGGGCTCAGCCAGACTTAGGGCAGGGGCTTTTTCCTCCTCAGATGATACAGGGCACTCTCTGGCCATAGGAGGACTATGGACAAGAAGTGGAGGCATCGGCCCTAGCAGCGCATGTAGAGAGACAACCATGGTTATGACCTGTAGTGGTCCCTCACCAGGGACACCTCAGTGTCAGGCAGTAGAGCCTTGTGGAAGTACGAGGAGGCAAGTACCTGCCATCTAGCCTCTCCCTCTACAGATCAGCTAATGGACTCTGGCAGCCATTTAATGGAGGAGGGACCCTTCAGAAGAGACAGATTAAAAGGCTTGGCTGTAAAGTGTTAAGTGTTCTCATGTGGAAACCCACAGAGAGTTCACTGCCTGTTTCCCAGTGGAGCTGTCAGCATCCAGCCCCATAGCAGGTCCATTGTGTGCCTGCTGTGTGCCTGCTGTAGTGATGCAATGCTCTGATCTGGAAGCTAGGAACTGAAATGAACATAAACCCATTTCTGACAGTACAAGTCACTTGGAGTTTGGAGACAGTCATACTGCCACAGCTGCTACTTAATTCTCATAAACCCCTATGCTACCAGGGACATCTGCCCCCTTTCCAGAGCTAGCAGACTCAGTTCCCAAGGGTCTCCTCTATTTTGCTTTCATCTAGGACCAGGCTGAGCTACAGCAAGGCTCACCATAGGAGGTCTCATGCTCTCTCTGCAGATAGCTGGTCAACATGTGTCAAGAAAAGAATGGCCAAACACAGGGCATTGCTTTTGGGGAAGGGGCAAGTTCTACAGGTTTATAGCCATATTGTAGGCCAGCAGCCTCAAATAGCCACTTGCCCAAGGTCCTGGGTTCCCAAGGGCAGCTCCTTCCCACCTCTGGGCAGGCTGGTAGCACATAGTAGGGCTGTGGGCTGGTGCATAGTAGGTATTCAGCTGGCACTGTGAAATAGGCAGGAGGCAGACAGGCATGGGAAGAGCTGGAGACCAAAGGCTCCAATTCAGCCCACCTGAGGGAGATGCTATGGATGCTGGTCCCTAACAGGGGTGCCCCAAAGGAAAGGAACCAGAGACTGTCCCCAAAATAGCATAGACCTGCCACTCTAGCACTGTGCTCTGTCACATAGACTGAAAAAGAAATTTGTTTAGTTTGGGTTTTTTATGAGATTTAGGCCAAGTATGGTGGGCTCACACATGTAATCTCAGCACTCAAGAGGTTTGCCTTGAAGCAGAAGGATTGCCTTGAACTCCAGGCCAGCCTAAGTTACAGTGTGGAGTGGGGCAGACATGGTGGCACA